TTGCACCATTAACCTTAATTAATTGCTTGACAATGAAACTGGCAAAGTGTGAGGACACCACATTCTTAAAGTACGACTTTACAAATGCCAATTTCTTGTTGATGCATACAGGGGAGTTTCCATATTTATTCCCACACCATTATCAATATAAAAGTTACTACAACCAGGTGAATAGAAGTATATATGCATAATGACAACCAGCAAATTAACAGATAATTTCAAGTAGCACATCGTTGGATGGGTGCAGCAGGAGAGTAAGATCAACAAATTGCAAACAGGCTGATTGGACTGTAATTGAACAGCTGATTGACAGTTTTAAGCTGTAAATCAACTTCATTATGACAAAGTCGAAATCCACTCCACTGTCAAAGTGATGGATCAATCAACATTCAATCAGCTTGTTTATCCTGAACGATGTACATCGAAATGCTGCTCTAGTCAATAAACAGGGAGTGGGTCTTAAGTGATATGTTTCGTTATGTATCCCCATACTGTTTACTGCAGTATAAGTGAAATCGGATTGAAGATTATTTAAGTTCTACTTTAGTAAACAGCATCCTAATAATTTGATTTCAGATTAAAACATCTCATTCCGAATTCGTGTAATCCTATTTCAGGTACTAAGAAATACTGTATTTTTACATATTAGATATAAATCTATCAGTACCAGTTTGATGTGTCTGGTCATGAGTTAACTAACATATTGATGATATATTTATCGTCATTACATGTGTAATTAAGCGTCATTTATGCCATTATAATGTTCTCTGATCCATTTCATCGTACAGCGGGGCGGTGGGGTAGCCTAGTGGTTAAACCGTTGGCTTGTCACGCCGAAGACCCTGGTTCGATTCCCCACATGGGCACAATGTGTTAAGCCCATTTCTGGTGTCCCCCGCCGTGATATTGCTGGAATATTGCTAAAAGCGGCGTAAAACTAAACTCAGTCAGTCAGTCATCGTACAGCAGTAGAGTAAAATGTAGGATATGGTGACAACAATACCAGTTACCTCCCAATTTCAATGGAAAACGATGAAGCATGAGCGAGTGTACAATGGAGTGAGGTACTTGAATGTGCAGTGGACCGAAGAAGACTCCCTAAAGATGTGGTAACAAAGGGGACAAAGGAAGGTATTGAATTGAGCGGTGTGAATGGAGCCACGATGGTGTTCGTTGGGTTGGATAGGAAAAATCCGTCTGCTTTAAGACTGTCGTCTGCTAGCGAACCACTTCCGGTTTACACGTCCGAGGAAGGTTGTTGAAAAATTGTCATGTCTCGTCAAGTTGATATTTCTAAAAATAGAAGATACATATACAAAAGAAGGTAGTCCATACCACTAATCATTCATATCACGGTCTGTCTCTCTAGAACGGTTCGTGAATGTATGGATGGAAACACGGTTTATACATGTAACGTCTAATGTACACAGTCTAATCTGGCTATTGCCTATGGTCCATGTTCTATTCTGCTTTACAGAACCAAACGTTGCTGAATTAATCCTAGTAGTAAATGGAACTGCTAGAGCTAGAATGTGGTGTAATGAATTAAACATGATACTGAGAAGAAAACCGATAGCGTAGCTTCTAAGCGAGAAAGCTATTTTTTTAGCTATGAGCTAACAGTGTATTGAACTCGACTTTGTTGTGATGCTGTAATATAATTGAGGAATCATCAACAATCACTTCATAAGAATGGATGAGCGCGGGGAGACACAACCTCTGACGAGGAGTAGCTCTGGAGAGCCTTGGAATCTATTCGGTAGGAAGACAGCCAAGACAGAAACTGTATTTTTCTCTCAAATTTTCATTATCTATATCGTAGTGATTACCTGCATCGTGAATTTATCTTTGGAAAAAGGAAACTCTAATCTATGGACTGCGCTTTTAAGTTCCTCTCTAGGATATCTCCTTCCCAACCCGAGAATTAAGTCTCAACCGTCACGAGCTAGTTGAACAACACCTACATTTACCGAATAGATAACTCTCAACAGACGAGTGTCACCGCTGAATAAACATTTAGGTGTACACTATCCTAGAACCATGTCGAGGAATGGAATAGGTCTTAAGGAATGTCGTCAGTTCCTCAGCGAGTTATTGGATGATTGTATAGCATACCATCCGTGGAGTGTGAGTATGTTATGGTGTACTCTGACTGTGCAGAAGATGTTCTAAATATAGCAGATATAAAAAGAAGGTACACCACGCATAACGAATTATTCAGGGGTGAGACTTCCTTACGACTCGGACCCACCTGTGCATGCTAGCCCAGAAGGAAAACAACCATCCTATATAGAATGTCGAGTGAAAGAATGACTTTCTTCACCTGGAAGTACGTGCAACGTGAACCCGATCGTATCCACGAAACCGTCGTCATACAACTCAGTGGTTTCAACATCGGGAACACTGTATACAAGATGCCGAGACGAAAGTCCCCAATGAGGATAAGAAGTTAAAACGAGTCATCACGAAGAAGATGAAGGCTATCATTGTAGATGAAGTAGAATTGGTTGAAGTGACTGACTACATGTTGTCGTTACTGACGCTATGTTACACTTTGGAACTGTGCAAAATTATCAAAAGACTCAGCATTCAATTGTGTTTCGGATGCATGTTTGAACAAGCTGACAGTCAGTACCATATGTGTCAGGACTTGTCTGACCAACACAAAATACACCAATACATGAACACAGCCTTAGACGAAGTGAATGACGATCGTGTGATCGATCAATGGATTCGACTCATTCACGAAGATTCAAGTTTAAGCAGCGTGTCTTCCCATGTTGTCTGTCAGTATCGGTGTAAAGATTATCTGGACACTCACTTTAAAACAAGTGACTGGTTAAAAGACATACAAGACCGTGTATGGAAAATGTTGTATTTAGAAAGAGCATTCCGGTGAACTAACTGTATGCTGTTGTGTATCATCCGAAATTACATGTTGTTATTTCAATACCTGTACACTCATGTTTGTCTTATATGTAATAAAACGATAGTATTGTACATTTCACGGGTCTGTTATCATTGACGTGTATATAAAAGAGAGTAGGTCTACACGAGGTTTACAGTTGAAATTACCTCACGAGATAGAAACATGTCATCGTCTCACCGGAAAGCCTTAGAGGGCTATTACTTTAACCCTAAGTCCCCAGGTGCGTATTACGGTGCCTCCAAATTTCAACAAAGTTTGAAAAGACTAGGGAAAAAGGTTACCGCATCCAAGGTAAAAACCGAGTTGAGTAAGCACGATGCTTACACGCTTCATAAGCCGGTGAAACACAAATTTCAACGACTCAGAGTACTGGTTAACCGAATAGATCAGCAATGGGATGTTGATCTCATGGATATGAGCCGCTATGCTAAGGCGAACGATGGTATGCATTACGTGCTGATAGCCATTGACATTTTGTCGCGCTATTTATGGGTAGTCCCTTTAAGAAACAAGAAACCAGAGTCCGTCGTCCAGACATTCAAAAGCATATTGTCGCAAGGTCGCAAGCCACACAAGATCAGAGTGGATAAAGGTACAGAATTTAAAGGGGCTTTCCAGGATTTTACAGAGCGTCAATCGATCAAACTGTTCATCACTCAGAACGAAGACATTAAAGCGAATTACGCCGAGAGAGTTATTCGAACATTGAGGACGCTCATAGCGAGGTACCTAACACACAAGAACACCCAGCGTTATATTGATGCGCTACCCGAGTTAGTGTATAATTACAATCACACCGTACACAGAAGTTTAGGCGAGTGGGCCCCTGCAGACGTGAACCAACAAAACCAAGTCAAAGTGTGGGCACATTTATACATGAAACCATCAACATTCATGACACAGAAGCCCCGTCCCTTTAAGTATAAAATAGGGGATATTGTGAGAATTAGTTATTTGAGAAAACCGTTTGCTAAGGAACACAACTTACGGTGGACGGAAGAGTTATTCAAAGTAGCAACGCGTCATCGACGACAGGGTATTGCTTTATACACACTAAAAGATTTTCACGATGAGCTCTTAAAGGGACGCTTTTACGAAGAAGAATTACAGCGTGTCGATAAAAATCTAGATGCAGCATGGGATATTGAAAAAGTGTTAAAGAAAAAGAAAGTCAAAGAGAAATTGTATTATTTCGTTAGGTGGGCAGGCTGGCCATCGAGTTTCGATTCCTGGGTAGAAGCAAGTGAAGTGAAGAATAAGTAAACAAAAATGGATAAATACATCGTGTTTAATAGTGCAGACTCTCACGAGTATTACCCGGACAACACGCCTTACCGTTTCCGCGTGAAACTGTCTCAACATTTGAAACTGGAGGGCATGTGGATGGTGGCTCTGTTAGAAATGAAACTAGGCAAACTAGAGTTGAAAGATATCAATAATACCTCCATTGACGTGTTGTGTAATCTGTGCGACAGTTCACATGTAGGTCAACAGTATTTGCCTTTGTTGAGACGACTCGATTTGAGAGACGGACCCAACTATTATTTTCATCAACCTTGGTACTTACCCGTCATCGTGAGAGACACCTCGGAAATCGAAGTGTATATAAAGTGTGCAGAAGGAACCTCGCATTCATTTCTGAAAGAGATCGTGAACGTATCACTCGTGTTGCGACGGTATCCCTTTCTGAGTTAAGCGCGATGGAACGGAAACTGTACATCCCCGACACCCAAAAGTTTGTGGACTTTTTAGTAGATCGCAGAAGTAAGCATGAGGGAAAACAGCTGGTCAAAGGTCGACCTAGGTCGCGTATCATTCCCATAGCACCCCAAGTCAAAGTACCACCTAGTCGCGACTCGAACTTGAACATAACAATGACATCGCCTAATCAGAACGTGGTCCAGAGAGCCGAAGTGGCTCAGAAGCGAACCAAAGCTATAAAACGCAAAGCAGGGGACAAGATTATCACTTCGAAGAAAGTACGTCGCGAGGGTAACAGCTCTAAACGATCCTTCATCGAGTTTAAAAATACTCCTGTAATCGACCCCAGAGATATCTTCAACCAGTAACCATGTCTGTACTGACTGAGAAAGAGTTTACCGAAGCCCTGCCAAATAGCTTAGATTTATTCGAACTGCCTCCCTATCAAACCAGCATCCTGCAACATTACTACGAGAACGTAAGACCCCTGTCTGTCATCACTGATTCCAGTCCGGTGGAATTTCACATTCCGAACGGTGGGAAAGACTACATCGACTTGAGCAAGACTCGACTTCACGTCAAACTGAAAGTCACTCATACCGACAAAACACCATTAGCCGATAAAGAAAAAGTAGGACCCGTCAACCTCACTTTACAAAGCTTGTGGAGTCAGGTGAGCGTGTTCCTTCAGGGTCAACAGGTCAGTTCCAGCAATGGCGGTTATCCATACAAAGCTCTCATGGAAACTCTCCTCGACTACGGCGCCGATGCTAAGGCCGGTCAACTGACCAGTCAACTGTATTACAAAGATTTGGGTATCACCGTGGACGAGTTTAATTCCGGGGACCCCTATGCCGGTGGGAATGATGGCCTCATCAATCGTGGAGGCGTTATCGCCGAAAGCAAGTCGCTCACCCTAACAGGACCCCTCATGGAAGTCATGTTCGGTTTCGATCGTCATCTGGTGAATGGCGTGGACGTGGGTCTGAAACTGTTTCGCTCCAACACGTCCTTTGTTTTGTTGTCCGATGAGACCGATAAAAATTACACTGTTGAACTACAAGATGTGTACCTAAAAGTATGCAAACTGAGAATCAACAACGCTCTAATTGTGGCTCACAACAAGCAGTTCGAAAAAGGTAACGCCCTGTACCCGTATGAACGATCCGTTGTCAAGATGGCCTCGGTTGCCTCGTCCAGTCTGAGTTTCAACTGGGACGCCATGTTTCAAGACGAAGTTCCCAGTCGACTCATTGTTGCCATGGTGAGGTCCGATGGGGTGAACGGATCGTACACGGTCAATCCCTTCTGTTTCCAAGGTAACGTCGTTAAATGCATGGGACTGTACTTGAACGGTACCAGTGTACCTGCACGTCCGTTAGAGTCGGACGACATCGAGGCTTATGCCAACCTGTACGACTGGAATAACGAATGGCACAAAGACAAAGGTTTGAACTTGGACCGCACGGAATTTTCCATAGGTCATGCCTTGTACGTGTTTAACCTGCAAGACATCCAAGGTGACAGAGGGGAATATCTGAATCTGGTCAAGTCGGGTAATCTGAGATTAGAAGTCCAGTTTGCTCAAGCCCTCGCCCATACCTTCAACGTCATCGCCCTGGCTAAATTTCCAGCTCTCCTCGAAATCGATCAAAGCCGCAACCTGTTTCTGAAGTAGTCAATGTATAAACAACAGTTACAGTGTGCCATCTATAGCGATCCCAGCCTCCGTACACACATGGTGGGTGTGTATGCGAGAGATACCTTAGTTAGCATCACCACACCTTACAAGGGTAGACCGTGGGGGTGTGTAGCTAACACGGACCTAGCACATGGCGAGGGTCAACACTGGGTTGCTTTCTACTTTGACGGGAGTGGAGTCGGCGAGTTTTTCGATAGTTACGGACAGAAACCCAGTTACTATCATCGTGAATTTGAACGCTTTGTCAAGAGACATTCTCACAGTTATCGATACAACACAACTGTTTTACAGCAATCTAGTTCGAGTGCTTGTGGATTCTATTGTTTATATTACGCGATACAGAAATGCAGAAATAGAGCTAGTTTACGCGATATCGTACAGATGTTTTGTACAGACAAAACACGCAATGATGCTTATGTGAATCGCTTTATCTGTGACTATTTCAAGTACTGTTTCACGTGTTCTACCATATAACACGATCTTTCTTCCTGTAGAGTGTTAGACGAGTGAATAAAACCAGAGAAAATGTCTATTGTGTTTCAGTTCTCTATTGTATGCACGGATGTATGGATGGTTGTATGTATGTAACGTTATATGGGTTTATGATTATTTAAGACCAAGGTATCGCAACTACGTTTCATTGTCGAGTGTGACACCGTACGAGTCAGACATGGCGAGATACGTTCTGAGACATTACACGTTTTTCAGACAACTTCTTTCGCTGAATGATTACGAAGAAACCTTGCGCGATATTCGTCGCATGAATGACGAACAAATCAAAGGTACTAAAACCATTGTAAAGCGATTGCTCGATGGTCGCATCTCAGTGACACGAGTTGAGCAACGTCGTTTCTTACAGCCTCATCCCCACAACCATTATTTGAGAATGTTACGGCGTATCGCTCGACCCGAGACGACGAATATAAGCATTAAACGAACCCTTTTAAACCATACTCCCTTGATCCGGTTTATATTCAAGTACGAACACGTCAGACAGGTCAGAGACGAAGCTCAAAGAGCTCTCCAAAGAGCAGTTAGACGTCAACAGCAACAACGACCACACGTACCGAGGGCTGCATAAATAACCCACACCAGTGACAGAATGTATCAGTGTTTAACAAACACTCTATGAACAAACACTATGTCCGAGAAATGTTTGCTCTCTTTCGTCACACCTACCACCTTGTCCGTGATCGGAGGTACGTGTAGCGGGAAAACCTATTGGACGAAACGGTTGTTACAGAATGCCAGTACAGTAGTTTGATAAGCCACCCAACCTAATCGTGTATTGTTACGGGGTGTGGCAGGATCTGTACGCCGATATGCAGCAATCTATTGCCAACATTCAGTTTCACGAATCTTTGCCTAACAAAAGCGATTTACGTTTGTGGTCCGATCAGTCTCACAAAAATATGATCCTCGTGTTAGACGATCACATGATGAACATATGTACCAGCAAACTCATGTTAAACGTGTACACGACCTTGTCACATCATTTGAGCATTACCGTAATCAATCTGCTTCAGTCTGTCTACCCTAAAGGTCCCTGTTCACAGACGGTGAGCGTGAATACGCATATGTTCGTCTTGATGAGCAATCCCCGTTCTGCGCACGAATACAAGATTTTAGCCTTGCAAATATTTCCAGGTCAAAGCAAGTATTTTTCGGAATCCTATAAGGATGCCGTGGAAGGGAGGAAATACGGTTACTTAGTCGTGGACGCTTCACCGTACAATGACCCGGAATACGGACGCTTACGCACCGGTATCTTACCCGACGAACTTTGCACCGTCTATTTTCCTAAATAAAAAGCGATCCGCATGGGATAGTGATGAGTGAGGATAATCGCCAATAACTGAAGGTAGATCACCAGACCAGGGACCATGGGGACTTACATTACTTTGCTACCTACATGGACCCTAGTTGGATTTACACCATCCCTTCAGCCATTGGCGACAGAAGGGAAATCTAGCCATAAATTAAAAGCACACATATTCTACGATTAAAAACCTGGTACACTTAAATTGACTAAATGTTTTGGGACTGACGTACCCTCTCAGGAGGACAATAATTTTACAATACTTCAACCCCCTTTGAGGGTACAGCCACTAACAATCTCAGTTACTAATTTAAATTACCAATAATAAAATATTTATCTATTTACAAATCAGTTAACAAATCTAATTCTCTTAAAAAATGCAATAACTAAATGAGAACTAACATTATTAAAAGATCCTTCATAGTCTTTACTTTGAAATAGTTATCCTTGTGATGGAATATTCGATGCAGTCAAGCAAGACATGCTTGACTGTGATTCTTTCATCACAAGGGATGCAAAACGGAGGATCTTCGCCTTTCAGCAAATATTCATGGGTATACCTTGTATGGCCAATGCGACATCGTCGCATAATGACCTCTTCAAATCTGGACTGACAACCCAAGTAAGTGTAACCGATATAGGGTTTTATTGCATGTAATTTATTGATACCTACTTGGGTGTCCCACTTCTTTGCATCAGATCACGGATGTAAGATCTAATGCAAGCTTTGTAATCAGAGTATGGGAGCAGAAGTGGTGTCACAGATTTGTTGAGTGCTGCCTTAGCAGCAATATCAGCCATCGTGTTCCCAGAAATGCCAACGTGGCTGGGTAACCAACAAAAGACGATGTCGCATTGGCCAGTAGCAAGCTCATTATACAATTCAATAATTTCTAATAAAAGTGGATGTTTGCAAGAAAGATTTTTAATAGCCTGAAGACACAAAAGAGAATCTGAAAAGATGATATATTGTTTATATTTACGGTGTTTATTAATATATTTAAGAGCTGTAAGTATTGCATTTGCTTCTGCTGTGAAAATTGAACTGTCATTGGGTAGTCTGGAAGACATTGTTTTGGACCCAGTGACAGTGGCACAAGCAACCGCGCCACCATCCTTGGATCCATCTGTATATAAGGATTTATAGGTATTATATTTATTTCTTAATTGACTAAATTCTTGTTTATACTGTAAATCATTAGTTTCGGATTTTTTAAATGTGGTTAATGTTAAGTCAACGTCTGGCCTCACCAATTGCCAAGGAGGAGAAGAAAAAAGACGAGAAGGAGATATATTCTCCAGCTCCATGCCGGCAGCAGAAAGAAATGGTTTAATTCTTAAACCAAGAGGCGGAACAAGAGAAGGCTTTTTGTTGTACAACTCCTCATAAAGAGGATGGAAAACACAGTTAAATGCAGGATTAGACTCGTTAGAATAGAGTTTTGTTATATACTGTAAAGATAGTTTGATACGACGTTGGGTAAGGGATGGCTCATCAGCCTCAACATAGAGACTATCAATAGGAGAGGTTCTAAAGGACCCAAGACAAAGTCTTAGGCCTTGGTGGTGGACAGAATCAAGTAGTTTTAGGTTGCTTTTGCAGGCCCCACCATATACGATGGAGCCATAATCAAGTTTCGAGCGGACCAATGATCGATATAGGTGGAGGAGGGTAGTTTGATCCCCTTCCCACTTTGAGTTGGAAATAACTTTCAACAAATCAAGGGCCTTCAGGCATTTAGCTTTAAGTGATTTAATATGCGGGAGAAAAGTTAAATGAGAGTCGAAAATTAGACCCAAGAACTTGGCCTCCTTGACAACTTTGATGGGAGTGCCATTTAAAGATAGTTCCGGTCTTTATGGGGCTTATATTTTCTACAAAATGTATACAATTAGTTTTGGCTGTAGAAAATTTAAAACCGTTTTCAAGACACCATTTATCTATTTTATTTAAACACAACTGCAGTTGCCGTTCAATAGTATGCATATTTTTCCCAATTACAAGAAATATTAAAATCATCCGCAAAAGAGATCCATCAATTGAATCATTTAAAACCTTTGATAAACTGTTGATCTTAACACTAAACAAAGTGACAGACAAAATACTGCCCTGAGGGACACCCTGAACCTGATTGTAATGATCAGACAGGGTAGTCCCCACTCGGACTTGAAATTGTCTGTCTTCTAAAAACTGTGATAGAAAAAGAGGTAAACGACCCCTCAAACCAAAATCATGGAGATCTTTCAAAATTCCATATTTCCATGTCGTATCATATGCCTTTTCAAGATCGAAAAAAATCGACACAGCATGTTGTTTATTTAGCATGGAATTTTTTATGAAAGACTCCAATCGTACCAAATGATCGATGGTACTACGATTTTTCCGGAAACCACATTGAATGTCAGTGATGAGGTTGTTGGTTTCCAGGTACCAAACTAGACGATTATTAACCATACGTTCCATTGTCTTGCAAACACAGCTAGTTAAAGAAATTGGTCTGTAATTAGACGGATCTGTATGATCCCGGCCAGGTTTAGGAATAGGAATGATTATGGCATTGCGCCATGATGGTGGGAAATTACCAGAAGTCCATATACTGTCAAAGATATTTAATAATGTTTCTAAACATGATTCAGGGAGATGTTTAAGAAGCTGATAATGAATATTATCGGGACCTGAAGCAGTGTCATGAGCTTGCCCAAGGGCAGTATGGAGCTCATGAATGGAAAAGATTTCATTATAATCCTCCCCATTATCTGAATTAAAATTAATTTTCTTTTTTTCTTGCTGGTTTTTAAATTTCTGGAAAGTTGGTGAATAATTGGATGAGGAGGAATGTTTGGCTAAAGTTTCACCTAATTTGTTAGCAATATCAGATTTTTCTGTTAAAAAAGAGACACCCTCCTTAAGATGGTGCACACTACATTTGGAACCTTTACCTTTTATCTTCTTCACCATATTCCATACCTTAGAAATAGGTGTACGGGAGTTAATTTTAGAAACATAATTTCGCCATGACTGTCGTTTATTTTGTTTAAATGTACGACGAGCCTTGGCGTTTGAAATTTTAAATTGGTTTAAGTTATGGACTGTTGGGTGCCGACGGAAATATTTTTCTGCCTTTTTCCTAGCCTTTCTAGCTTGTTTGCAGTCAATAGTAAACCATGGCTTACGGATGTGTGGGACCATAGAGGACTTGGGAATACAATCATCAGCAATCATATTTAATTCATCAGAAAACATCTGAATAGGATCAGACACAGTTAGAAAGAATTCGGGTTTTAATCTGGTATGGCATAAGGTCTCGAACATGGACCAATCTGCCTTGTTAAAGTTCCACCTGGACGATGGTGCAGCATCACTGGGGTTTATGGCTGAAAGAATAGTAGGAAAATGGTCACTTCCACAAGGGTCATCATGGACCGACCAGTCAAATTCTTTATATAAATTAGAGTCCACAACGGATAGATTCAGAGAGGAGTACGAACCAGTTGCAGGATGAAGATATGTGTCAGAGCCATCATTGAAAATGCATAAATCATTATTTGAGAAGAAATCCTCGAGTATCTTACCTTTTGCATTGGTCGTGTTACTACCCCAAAGTGGGTTATGACCATTTAAATCTCCCATTATAATGCAAGGTTTTGGGAGCTGATCATAGAGCATCTGAAGATCACATTGCTGTATAGAGGATGATGGTGGTATATATAGTGAACACAAAGTAAGTACAACATGTAGTGTCACGCGGACAGCAACGGCTTGAAGAGGGGTATTAAGTGGAATAGCGCTATGAATCGTGTTCCGACTCACCAGAATAGAAGATCCCCCAGTGGCCTTATCACCAGCTGGAGAAAAACGATGGTAGGAATCATAATTCCTTAAATCAAATTTATCTGTAGATTTCAGGTATGTTTCTTGTAAACATAGTGCTGATGGTCTGAAATCCTGGATTAAAAGCTGTAAATCATTATAATTGTTCCTGAGACCTCTACAGTTCCACTGTAGAATATGTGAAGACATTACCTTTTAGGAGGATTAATTGGCGATCTGCCCCGCCCGTTTCCTGGAGGGTGACGGGCTAAGTGTTCTCTGACTACTGATGTCAGACACATCCATATCTTCAAGTGAACCGTATTTGTTGAACAACTGGATCTGGTTATCAGATCCTTTAGATCTCCTGCCACTTTGGGGCTGTTTGGATTCCGGGATTGGTTTGTTTTTGGTTTTTACCACTTGTTTTACATTTGTTTCTAACTGTGTGATCCTAGACGACTGAGATGATGGTAGATCGTGGGGAGGTGTTTGTGAACTGGCCGATTCCACAACAGGAACTGTTGCTGCAGTGATAGAGACTGAAATTAACTTAGAGCTTCAGTTTCAGTCCATGTATAATCGGTCTGACAACCAATTGATGTACATGGAACATGTTGCGGAACAGCCTGTGAAATTGGTCGAGTAACGGCTGCAGAATAGGAACTGTGTATGGACTGTTCTTCGCCCAGAACAATCTTCTTCGCATCTTGAAAAGATACATTCCTTTCATGTTTGATTTTCATGATCTTGGATTCGCGTTTCCATATGGGGCAATCTTTGGAAGAGGAAACGTGATTACCGCCACAGTTGACACATGAAGGATCTTTGTTACATTCAGTACTGTCATCACAGTTACCGCCACAACGATTGCAAGCAGCGTCTTTATTGCACGTTCTAGATCCATGTCCATAATGTTGGCATTTGTAACATCTCAGAGGATTAGGGATGTACAGATCCACTTTGATATTACAATATCCAGCTTTAATTGAGTTAGGTATTTTGGAAAGACCAAAGGTAAACAGATACGTGTTGGTTTTAATGATCGCACCATGTCGTTTGGAAGAGAAACGTTTTACAGATATAACATGTTGGCTCTTTAGTTCTTCCAAAATGTCATCCTCAGTCATGTCAGCAAGTAAACGACCACTATCTCGCACTATCCCCTTACAGCTGTTCAAGGATCGGTGTGGGGAAACCACAACTTGAACATTTGCGAGGGTTTTGGTGGAAAGAAGATTGACAGCCTGTTTCTGACGTCTACATTTAATAAGTAGACAACCACTGCGTAATATTTTGGCATCTTCAACATCGCCAGCAATGCCCTGAATAGCCTTCTCAATGGCAAAAGGATTCAACTTGAGTGGAGTGCCATCCTGAGTTGAGATAACCAAGAATCTGGGCCAGTTTTCAAAAGTCACAGAAGGCGTTCTCGGCCTATCTGCATCACACAAATCATTTGACTCATACGAGCGTTTTTTCATCGGGGGTTCCATGGTTGTAGTGATTTTGGTTCATCCTCCTGGCTCCCCACCCACCATGGAGTGTCAACAAGGACGATGCCTCATGCCTGTGGGTCTCCAACAGGCGGCACCAGGGATACCAGGGGGGATATACTCAAGTAGAAACATTAAAAAAACAATTTTTCTACCAGATTGGCCCATGAGCCACCGCCTTCTGGCATGTTAGACTCTAGGCAAGTAATTTTGTATTTGTTTATATTAAGCAAGTGAATAGTACAAGTACAATTTTACCAAGTCCACAAAGTAATCAATGAATAATTAGATATAAGGTGTGCAAGACAAAATACAATGCACAGGGCTTGGCGTGACCAGCCGATTGATAGAACCGGGCCAGTTCTACCACCCGTCTAGGTGAAGTAAGGGTCGAAGTGGTGTATTGGGCAAAGGAACACTGTTCCTGGAGCCCTTGCCCTCAACCACCAGAATCCCGTCCTCCACCGACACAGGGGCGCAACCCACGGCAAACAGGTTGGTGGACCTAATATCCCCCCGGGTCCACAACGGGGATTTGAAGGGCGCTTAGCGTTACCCAGCACCCACCACGAGGAGGTGGCCCTTCATGGGTGCCCCGCATGGGATTGAAGCTCAGTCAGGGTTACAGCAACCGCGCTATGAGCAAGGTCTACTTTTGGGAGATCGTGGGTAACCAACCACCCTCTATCTTATCGATAAGAGCTACTCGGACTGAAGAGATCGTATTTAAAAAGAGCCCTACGTGGTTTTCATCGAAAGAGTCGTGTATAAACTCACTTCGAAAAGCTTGGCGGACTCTACCTAATTTATACGGTGGACCTACCTGCTACGTTTACAAAAAGGTTCGCTACACACAATGAGTCGGTGTATTGAAGACGTGGATTTTCTCCGCGTACTGAATCGGTCTAAACCCTAACTGCGTAAATTATTACTGTCTCATCCGACCAAACCCCAGTTTAAGTCGATCATCACGTTGTTACATAACATCATCATAGGTTACATTCCCGTGACAGATCGCGAGAAAAAGACCCTGTACCGGTACAGAAAGATCATTCGGTTACTAGCCAGCAAACGAGGAGGATACAAAGCTAAAAAGGAGTTGCTGGTTTCCTTACACTTTATATTACCACCTTGTGTTCAAGCACTGGATCGATATTTCTATCAGTTGGACCATGACGAAACCCATGATCCTGTTATCTCGCGAGACGTACCGTTGCCTGATCCATCCTCCTCCTCCGAAGATGGAAACAAACCCCCATCCAGTCCTGAAACCCCCACCAGCCCCTATCCAGCACCGGGAGCAGACTCCAGTAGTCAACACTACAACCGCGACAGCAGCCGTGGAGCATGATGGGTCCATCCACAATAACATCGCCTCGCCGCACGTACCGCAAACGGGAGGAGGGAATGCAACAACTAGGCATCCAACCCTACACTGTCTCGATGTTTTAGATCCACTTTTACATCACGTCCAGACGAACGAACAAAAGGGAAAATTAGTGTCGCTATGCCAATATCTCAACCAACAAAAAGAACTTGGTCGCATTAACTGGAATGCTAACCTCGAATGGTTTGATGAACACGGACGACCTATGTCACATTCTAATGTGATTGACTGCATTCGACAGTTTGTGCTACACAGAAATGATTCGAACAGTGATGACTTGCAAACTTTCCTATTACTCCTAAAACAACTGCCTGGATCACAGACCTTTTTCTCACAAGTAGGAAAAGGTCAGCAAAAACGAAAATTACCTACCAAGAACAAACCAAAAACTATGTTCGTTCGCAGTAAAGTAAAATGTGGTGTGCCTGGAACAAGGAAATCAAGGCAACTGGAATCCTTTAAGTAACCTATTTCACATTAGCTGGTGAATGTGATGATTATATAATGTAGTTATAAATTATGTGATGTTTCGTGTAAATCACCAGGAATAAAAAGCTAGTAAAACATTTCATTTGTGTGTGTTGTTCCTAGATGTGAGAGTTGTTTGGATGAGTTTGCATTGAAGCAATGTGACTGTCAAGTCAGTAAACAGATATTATTTACAAATTATCTCCCCTGGACCATACCTTCAAGATGTTGTTCAGTACCAACTACATCATCGAATTATCTCCTCTTACGCCATGATGATTATGAATGATACAAAATAAAGGTGGCAAAGCTTCTAGCTAACAACAATAAATAATAATAAAACTTTTTACAACATCTTGAAGCTTTGGTTCGGTTGACATTTGAAATAAAGACAAAACAATCACAGAACGTTCCAAAACGATTTAATAAAAATCACACATATAATCACAGCACCTTTGATTCGAACTGAGTCTTGTATTGCATAAAGTACAATACCTCAGTAATATAAAAAACAAATTCCAAAATAAATATCCACAGCACCCTTGATCGCCAAGATTCGTTATTATTATTATTACAGTTGTACGATGCACTTGTAATGTAAAAAACAAAGGAACATACATATTTTCATAAAGTAAAACATCGCTTCAAAGATTTCCAAATAAACAATCACACTATCCGCAGCACCCTTGATCGCCAAGATTTGTTATTATTATTATTACAGTTGTACAATGCACTTGTCATGTAAAAAACAAAGGAACATACATATTTTCAAAAAGTAAAACATCGCTTAAAACTTTTTCCAAATAAACAATCACACTATCCGCAGCACAATCACTTGATCGCCAAGATTCGTTATTATTACAGTTGTACGATGCACTCTGTAATGGAACAAAATTTTCAAAAAAAAACAAAGGAACATACATATTTTCAAAAAGTAATCCTGTCAAACAAACAAAATTAATAAATAAAAAAAATAAATAAAAAAAATAGTTTAAAAAGCGGATTGCTTTCTTTGATCTTGTATAGTAAAGGAGGAACTTACTTTGATTTTGTATAGTAGGGTGATTGTTGACTTGCTCTTGATATCGTCGCATGTCGAGTGGAGGATGATTGTGGGGTGGATGAAGCACTTGGTGGGGGTAAATGAACTGAGTTTGTTCTTGTGCTGCTCCTGGTGGTGGTGGTGGTGGTGGTGGTGGTGTCTGTCCTTGAGATGTTGCGGGCGACATCATAATAGTAGATGCTGTAGACGAAAAGGGGGATGAGTTCTGCTGAGTGTGAATCAGAAGCAGGTGAGGAAAACCTAGGAGTCGATGTCCGCGATGATGTTGTTGGTGAACGACATGCAGTTGTATATCTTTTACGTTAGCAAACGAGGATGTGAAGGACCATACTACAAATGACGAGAATGACGACCGCAATCATCTCCATGAAAATGTCTGAAAACATATATCCTAGAATCTCACACACACACACACACACACACTCACACAGAGTTACTGGCAGTATCCTATAGTTTATAACCGTTACATTATCAATAGAAAATGTTAGATTGTCGATTCGTGATGTGATAACGTTACACGTTAACCATTGTCTTACATGTTTTTGGAACACATAACTTAGCAGTATGACAACAGTTAGACAAACAAAATGGCAATATTGAGATGACATATGATATGTTACCATTAATCTTGTTGACGAAAGTAGATATCATCGACGACGACAATGTTGACAACGTTCTCGGTAGAGAAGATGGTGCAGGTGTGCTAAACTTTCTTACTATCCCGGTGGCATATTGATTGTAGTAGTGGTTGGTAGTCTCTCTGTGTTATAAGTTGTTGTTCTCGGTGTGATGGTAGCAGCACTGGCAGTCTTTCGAGCGGTGGTGGTGGATGTGGTCTTTGGGGTTGTGGTGGTGGTGGTAGCGATTGTTGCTGACACATTGGTGGGCTTACTGACGGCGGTGGCTGTCAACGATGTCAAGGTGGTGCCAGTGGTGTCTGTATCAAACATAAGCGGAGGTATACGTGTAAATCTTCCCAGAGTAACCGTGTATAGAATTCTTCACATTTTCATCAAAGAATCGTTATATGTCCTTCCTTCCTTCAGCACATAAAATACAGAAATTATTACATATTTTCATCAACAATGCCATGGCTAATAATCGCTTAACATTCGCATTTACTTCATTGTCGCGCAGTTTCATCCATTATTTTAAAGGGTAAGGGAGATAACTCTCTTCTAATGATACTTGCATACCATCAACAACATTTTAATCGAGCAAGTATAATATTCGCATCTATGTACTATAACTTACCGCATAGAATACCGTTGATGATGATGGGGTTTACGGGATCTAATGCATCACCACAAGCTACAGTTCCTCCTGTAATGGAAGTTAGATTGGGGAACAAACTACCCCTAATTGTCAAGCTGGTGTTATCGTCTTCTGGCAGTTCTATTTTCACGATGCTCTTGTACACATAACCTTCGAGATGAATGTATTGTACATTTCTGCGGTGACATGACAGAATTAATCCTGAAGGCAGTTTTCGACATGATATTCGCATGGATGTTTCATTTGCAAAACATGTTGCAACAAGGAGAATAACTCCCAGTGCATTGAAATCCCTTAGACAGTGCGGCATGTCCGTTCCGACGACTTGCAAAGTCAACGCACGTGGTCTGCCAATTTGCCACGCATGCGTAGGGTGAAGAAACTCTGAAACTCAACTTCTTAACGAAATCCACACGTACTTGACACTGTGCAGAGCTAATAAAAACTCACATTGGGATGCTAATAAGCTGATTTCATTCATAATAAGTCGTTTCGGATGACAAGTATTGGCGGGAGTTTGATTGATTTGCATTAATTTGCTGGGAAATGATACCTTTCTTTTTTTACTTTGAAACGGACGAAACACACACACACACACACACACACACACACACACACACAAACAAACAAACAAGTTGAGACGGGTTTTCAATTTTATTACATAATATTTAAAATGCATGATCATATGAACTCATGATAATATGTATACATTGATCTGTTCCATAATCAAACACGCAGGTCAACTACGCGTAACACTTTTATTGTCTCTGATTTTTACGTTCAATCCATAATTATTTTTAAGGTGATAACCCATTTGCCAAGTCTTTCGCTTGTCAAATAATTTTCACGAACCCACGTTTCATCCTCGTGGAAAGGTGTCGGATCGTAATTGACAACGGTGTTGACATGATTCGTGAAGTGGTCTTTCGATTTTCTAAATAAATGTTCGTGCGATAGACTTTTCAGGACTTCATCAAAGTACCACGCGACCTCGGAACTATAGCTCTTGGGATAGAGGCACGTGTGTTCGCGTTGCGAAGGATGATCGATTTCACATCCGGAACATGGACACTTATTTTCTTTTATCCTCATCTCTATACCGTCGCGTAATGCTGCGATATAGTATCCATCGAGGATATCATTGAAATCTTGCCTCTGTTTCTCTGTTTTCATTTCCTTAGGGAGGGGCATCGCAAAATTATAACTCGACAGCTGAATAGTACAGGGTCCATCGACGTCAGACAATTGTGTCGATTTTACTACTTCTAAAGCAAACGATACTGCTGTCAAATTGTTGCTGTAATAACAGTCATCCTCGTAGACAATGCGGCCGCGTCGATCTTTGATGCAGAAATGATATTTCACGGTAGTTGATGTCTTGTTGTTCATGTTGTCGATGTGTATTCTGGAATATTTGAATAATAAAAATAACAATAATAATCACTTATTCAATCATCCACAAAGTTATGAGATGTGACGAACAAGATCTCCTTTATTTTGATTCACTCTTTTCATATCGATATGTCATTCTATTAATTCGTTGTTTACTTCTTTTTTAAAAATAATTTCTTTCTCCTTAATCCATCGTTTGTATTGATAACGAATGTAATCAATTAACCTGATATATAGATGAGGATCCATCGAATACATGTACATGTCTTCGTGTAGGCTCTTTGCCTCTTTTCAGTTTTTCCAGCTTGACTAGTATCCATCCACCCGTCTGTCTGTGTGTGTGTGTGTGATTCAACATATGGTCATAGCGCACGTGTATTAAACACAATAAACTAATGCCAAGAAGAGATTTGGTCCGTCTTACTCTGGAGCAATATAACCATAGGGTAAGGATGATATCCCATCATCGAGTATGTACCTTTTATTGTCTAAAGGAGACAACGTGACTTTCCTTACCTTCACTGTGTACAATGTATTGTGAAAAGACCTGATTTGTTGAAACGTAGCCCAAAACTGTTTTCGATTGAATTTCACCCAAGTACGCTGTATACCCTTAGCGCGTTTCTCCTCAGTGAGTTGTACACTCGTACCACCTTCCTTGTTCTCTACTTCTTGCTTTACTACAAAACTGTAACATTTGCTTTTCAATCCCACAAATTCGATGATAATATGATGTGCAGTTTCCGATTTCATAAGGCCGGGCTGTTTATGTCTTTCATTGCTGTACAAAGGATGAGACTTTGGAAAATTGGACGTGTCGAATAATTCCATGTGATAGCTCATAAACAGATAAGGATCTAGGAGAGGTTTTTCCGGCGGGCGCTCACAGCAAATAAGAGCGAATCCGTATCGGTCATACACAGTTTCACCTGACTACCGTACTGTCTAACCAAAACGTCATACCAGAAAGAATAGATTCTTCTCTTGGCATGTTCCAGTATACAGAATCCCACAGCAATTGGTTTGTCTAATGTGACCGAAGTACGCTCCATTTCTATTGAAGTCAACTCTTCAGAGAAGATATTGAGTCGTTTGAAATTGCACTTGGCAGTGTATTTCGTCAATATGTTAGCATCGTTCACCAACCGAATGTCCTTGTACTTTCTACAGTTTTCAATCTGTTTTCCATAACACGCATTGCTCAACAGTTTGTAAAAATCTTTGGATGCGCTGTCAGTAGCTATTTTACGTTTGTGCGTGTTGACATCGATGTAAGGTTTCATCCATGCCTCCTGAGCGAATCTAACTACAGTGTGAATATGCTTCACTCGCATACCTAGTCTCAAATAACACTTCAGCGTTTCGAAATGAACGATGTAGTTGTTTTTGTCATACAGTGTACAAAATAATTTTTTCCCGCTCGATTTGGTTTTAGATAGACCTAACTCTTGCAAAATATCTTCACAGTAAGGTGAAAATTCGCTCAGTGGTATGTTCCTATGCATTGGTGCTGGAGGGAATGAAGAGAAGAAATCGTGTAAATGCGGAGGGATTGTCAGATCACATTCTATCGCATAACCATAGTACCCGTCGTAAGGGACAGACATCCAGTCAATACTGTCAAACTCGTCACGCTCTAGGAACTCAAAGTTCCCCACAGCCAAGGGCTCTGTCATACAAGTAGCATACAGACTATTGACGTCGTAGTACAACAAATAACCAGTCTCTTTTGTTGGGTCATACTCATCCCCCATGTACACGTTGTTACTTTTGAAATATCGATGGGCGATGAAACTACATCCACCTCTGATACCTCTCTCAAAATACCCGTATAAATCTGGGTGAGTTAAGAGTCGTAATTGTACGCGGGTGAGTTTGAGGCAACACATGTTCGAGAAACCCGGTAGACTCACAAAATGAAACGGTTTAATACCGTAGTCTGTCATACACATAGATCTAAACATTTGCATGACGTCGCATAACAGCAAGGTGTCTACCGACACGTACAACTCAACAAAATCGTTCATCGATTTCATGTCAAACGTATGCCAAAGACGTTGAACAAAGTCATAATCCGGTTCCGAAATTCCTTCCTCGCTCAGCGAAGAATAAAACCGATCTTTGGAGGGTAAACACGGCTCGCTTAATACCTCAAAACTGCTTAGATATTCATAGCAGAACGGTAATTTTCTTGTCAAGAGATCGACGTGATGGGGATACTGTTCTCTTAAATGATGAAAATGCTCGATACCTTTGTCTTTCAAGTTTTTAGTTAAGGTGTCTAGGGAAGCGTTCAGAAATTTATAAGAATCCAAAAGCACGAGGTTGTCGATAGAAAAACTTAAAACGTTTTCAGTATTGTGAGCGATACAGTTTAACTCTCTATCCGAAAAGGCTTCTACGGCGTCTAACAAAAGATGCGTGTCGTATTTTTCCGCATTGTGTAGCACACACACGACTCTCTTTCGCTGTCGATAATTGACATTACAGTCAAAATGCGCTAGTCCTCTAACTTCATCGGACCAGGACCGGTTGTTCTGTTTCAAACCCCTCTCCACATAACCAGCATAGATTATTCATGTTTAGCTCTGCGCGAACATCGCCAGTGATGCGGAGCACCACTGGGTTTGCATAAATTTCGTCTTGAATCCAATCGTAAACCTCCAAAATGCTAGTTATAAAATGTTTACCAGCGTCGGCACCTGTGTACACTTGCAAGGGTTGACAATACTCAGGTACGCGGCTAATCAGTTTGAAAGCATAGGCACAGGGTACATGAGTTTGAAGTCGATTAGAATCCTGATCGTCTTGCGGCTCGAGTACGGATTCGAAATCGGCATAAAAAATGAAATCGCATTCTTGTTCAAAGGATTTCTGTCTCAATCCATATTCTAGCAGATTAGCGTCATCGAGTTTACTCGGCATTGAAACTCTCTGGGCTTTTTGGTTACAATAAGAAGCATGCTTTTCAAAAACCGACTCGCTTGTAAAAGACCAAAGACAACGTCGACATACTTTAACCTGTCGATTTGTAGTAGATGATGTTACTAAACTCGCCAAGTTAGTAATTAAACAGAAATGACTCTTTCCTATATCCGTTAGTAGCAAGAGATCGATACATCGTTCGCGGGGAACATTGTCCTGCACTTTACTTATGAGAGCGGGATAAATGTAACCCGGAATAACGTTTCCGTATTTGTCAACCACTGGTTCTTCGTACCCATACACATTAACAGATACATTGTTTTGTCTTTCAAATTTAGAAATGTTTTTTAATGACACGGGAAAGGTGATAGTATCCAAATTAAACTTATCCACATGGGGTAAGTAATGAATTTCATGTTCACGATGTGACTCTGGCGGAGCGGGGAATAAGTGTGCTATCACCGAATATAGAAAACACCGATCATCTGTGTTCACAATGTTCAGTATGGATTTCCTATGCTGTTTCAATTCCGCGGGAAGTTTGATGAACGAAGAGCCTCGAAAGGGTCTGAACCGAGTTACGGTTAATTTGACGTTGAGAACCTTATCCAAGTTTAAATTTGAACTGTCTCCCTCGTAGTCATCTATTCGTCGTAATAATGTATTGACGTGCTGGTTATAATGGTTGATCAAACTGTCACCTTCCATACCAACTACCATTGGTGAATGAAAATAAGGTTCCGAATACAACACTTGTCCATCGTCTGCTAATTTTGAAAACTGAACGTGTAGACACAGCCCCCATTTAAACGATTTTTTTTCGACGACTTCTCTTCTTACCTCGTCAATAATTCTCTCTTGTATGGATGCTTAATACAATAAAGGGTCACTACCCTCACGAATATCATTAGGTGTGAAATCAAACACCCTAGCCTCACCGGCAAACGCTTGACGTGTGCATCCGGAAGGTATGTTATTTTGACCACTGTTCGTGTCTTCGTTCGCCGATGTCCCTTAGCCCGTCCTCTACCCGAAACTGCACCTCCAACCATCTTATTGTACTTAGCCCGACTTTTCCCTCTAACAATGAATAAACCATGCTGCTGACGTTTGTGAGAAGCTAGTTTGTTCTTACTGTTGCAGGAGAAACTACAATGCTGACAGAAAAACAACGTCGGGTGACTGCGTCGCACATGCCATGTTAAATAATTTTGAGTGGTGTATTGTTTACCGCACTTTTCGCAACTGAATAGTTGTTGAAACTGACAATCTTTTTCATGTTTGCGCAAGACCAAGAAACTGTTACTTTGGAATCCACACTTGTGGCATTTTAACGTTTCTCTATGCGATCTTCGTATGTGCTTTTGTAAATTGTCTTTTCTCGTACATACAACGTCACAGTGATTGCATGGGAATCGCTTAGGTTCTTCAAAACAACTTTTTTGATGACGATATAAGGCTAGTTTGGATCCGAATGATTTCTGACATAAAACGCAAGCATAGATCGGACAGCTTGTGTGTGAAGACATATCAATTCTCTCCTTGTACACTGTTTACGTGTTACTCGATGCACTATCCATATAAATATATCTGTAAGAATAAACATATACCCGTTAAACAAACGTAAAGCTATAGTAACATAGTACTTAAATGTTCAAAATTAAATGTAAACTCACTTACCTGTTTCCTTCAAAGTTGACGAAAAAGATTTAACAAGGTAGATCTTCGCGATTCGCCAACAAAAGTCAGAGGTTGTATGAAACTCTTAACAGACAACCGAATGTATCCTTCCAAATTTCAGCTAACGGATTTTATATCAGTTGAGAACATCACAAAACGAACTCAAAGTGTAAACTTTTTTGATTGGATAACTAAATGAATAATTTGAGATCTCCGGGTATAGTCATCGACGAATCACTGAATATGGTATTCATTCTTAGGTAACTCCTACTTTTTGTGATTGACACGTGATATTAGAGAAGAGATACAGTTGAACATCATATACTGGAATCTCGTATAGGAGGAAATCTCCTTCCAGACAAATTTTAGATGAAACGAAACTTTCTTTCTGTAAGTGCATTTGCCTACCCCCAGGAGCAGGTTAGAGAAACGTTCAAAACAGCCCCATTAAAATAAAATGTTCCGCTTCTCCAGAGGGAAAGATATATGCATGTGTATGTGACTCTTCAGTACTGTTTAGCACACGTCTAGGTGTATTCATTGTTAATATTGATAATTTCATCTTGTCATACTTCTATAGACAGGTATTGGATATATTTATTGAAATACATACAATACATTATTAATATATATATATATATATATCACGGATAATATGTTTGCTTGTTTGTAATCGGACGTTTCGCTATCCAGACGATTTCCGAGTGTAACAAAATGTTCGGATAAACGGAGTTCAAGTGTACAGTGACACGAAATCCGTTATGTTAAATACGATGCAAAATTAAGCAATCAACATGACTAGCAAATTTAAATACTTTTGAACGTATAGTCAAGGCATAACTGTCGGCGGTGAAAAATGTGCGACGCTGACGCTAAGTTCTTCAATAGCGTCAAGAAAACTAGAGAGGTACTTAACCGAACTTTTCCTCCATCTTGAAAGGGAAAACAATGTATGCAAATGTATGCTCTGGAAATACTTGAAACTTTCATCAAGTAGTAACTTCAACGTCGTCCTCGGTGCTTGTAAAATTAAGAAACGGATATACTTTGTAACCGTGAAAATGTATGAAATATTCAAACTTTAAACCACCTGCAACTGAACAAAAACATTTCAACTGAAAAGGAAATGGTAATGACAAATACGTGTGGGAACGTGAAGATTTCTGCTAGAACTTCCAAAAAACCATCAACGATTGGATGCTTGAGAGTATCCAATGCAATCGGTTACCTTTATATATAGACTTAATTTTCATTCTTTCATATGCACAAGGTATTATACACGAAAGTGTCAATCACTACTCTGGGAGACAGATAAAAAGGGACAACCATCTGTGTTGTCTTCACTTTTTGCTGACATCGACAACCAGACTCCGAGCCAACCTTCCAACCCACCGAACCATCGTTAAACCAGCCAGCCAACCAGCCTAACACCAAGTCAGCTTACCAGTCGGTCTACCTACCTACCTACCTACCTACCTACCTATCTACCTTCACCAGCATCTACTTGACTATGGCGATGAACAGAGCTTCAAAGAAGATTACGTATTGGTATAACAACACAGTGCACGTGAACCTAGATCCATCTAGCTCAAAACCGTACATACACATCAACAAACGTAATTTTAAGGGGGAGAAGACAATAAGCCTTTCCCCCGAGGCGTTCAAGGCCCTCGCGCAGAAGCAAGATGAGATTCTGGAAGCAATGGAAGATGTGGAATTGCTAAACTGCTGCGATCCTGAGGTGGATCGAATCACCAGATTTCATCCGTATGAAAGACCCGTTAAGTCCCGAATTCTATACAAGTTTTCACTCTCTCTCTCTAAATATAATATAGACGGTAAACTATTGTTCTCACTTACGGTATTAATATCCATATGTCTTTTAACACGTTGATAATTTGCTTTATTCTTCAACAGAACTGATGTATACATATTCAGTTAAAATTAAACATGTACTTCTACATTTCATTTTAGATACGGTGATAAGACCTAATACACCGCTACCGGGACCATCAACCGCAGCAACAACGGCAGCACCGGGAACGGAATCTACACAGAGCGAATGCGTCGCTGATGTGTCGGGTACACATGCACTCGAACGTAGCGACCAACCGCGGACGGGTCACAGCGTTACCATACCTCAAGCTAGCCAGAAGTCACAGCAGTGGAGCCGCCATGGTTACTCGTCTCCTTCCAATCAGTGGAATGAATACATCCACTCCCAATCTCTACCACAGCAAAACACCATACAGCAGCATCAGCAACATCAGCAACAACAACAGCAGCAGCAACAATGGATTGGATATACTAGTATGTCCTACCAACCTCTGCCAGACCGAAACGTTCACCCATGGAACAGATACACACCCAACAACGTATACACGGATAGCAACAACAACAACAACTACAGCATCTGAGGGTGCTAGTAAGCTCGGGTATCGTACCAAGTTTCTAGTGTGTGATTTGTATCTCAAATCATAGGACAGTTCCGTTTGGTGAACCTTCGGAATCTAAAGCGAACTGTTAAAGTGACTCTCTCTCTCTCTCTCTCTCTTTCTTTCTCTCATCTCTCTGACATGAGATTATTTCAAATAAAGAAAAATTAACAAATGTTAATGCGTTTGTATTTTATTGACCTTTTTTCTATCGTCGGAACGAGATATGTGCCATACATATAAGCTTCGAGAAAGTAGTTAGCGTTTACTACTCTCTGTAACAATTCGAACTCAGCAGTTTGTTATTGACGAACATCTCATACAACGTAAAACACACACACACGCACACACACACACACACACACACACACACACACACACACACACACCAACGCAACGAGACTGTTTGAACAACCTTCCTCGGACGTGTAAACCGGAAGTGGTTCGCTAGCAGACGACTGT